CAACTCCTTTGGGGTTGGGCAGGAGTCCATCTCTGTGCTTCCCCACTTTCCTGCCTGCGCATGGAGGAGGGAGTGCGCTGGGGTTTAGCAGCTGGTTGCTGATGTAGCAAGGGTCTTTGGAAGGGTCTTTGCCAGAGACGCTTACCCCTGCAGGCAGGCTTAACCCTCCCTTCCCCTTGTCTGGCAGCTGAAGGGGTACCCACCCTCCAAGTGCCCCGAGGAGATCAACCACATCCTGAGGATCCTCAACCTGGAGGACAAGCGCCGCGCTCTGACCAAGGCGCTCTCCGGCGGCATGAAGCGCAAGCTCTCCATTGGCATTGCCCTCATCGGGGACTCCAAGGCAAGCATCTCTGGCAGGGCTCGCCTCGAGCCTTCCTCCCTGGGGCCAACGTAGGCCCTTCTGGTAGCTCCTGAGGTTGTCCCTCGCCCATGCTGAGCCAGTGGGAGATGCAGGGACAGCGAGGAGGGGGCAGGAGCACGCCCACAAAGGGCGACAACTCTGAGGACAACGCCCTGAGGCTGCAGTGCAGCTCTGCTGCCTGGTAGCTGCTCCCCCAAGCAAGATCATCACATGCAGGTTGGGAGGTCATGGTCCCCGGGATTGCCCTCTCCTGCACTGCTCTGTGCCCCTTTTTGACCAGCACCCGTCTCCTCTGTGCAGGTGGTGATGCTGGATGAGCCAACGTCGGGGATGGACCCAGCCTCTCGCAGGGCCACGTGGGACCTCCTGCAGCAGCAGAGGAGCAACCGCACCATCCTGCTGACCACCCACTTCATGGATGAGGCTGACCTGCTGGGGGACCGCATAGCTATCATGGCCAAGGGCGAGCTGCAGTGCTGCGGCTCCTCACTCTTCCTCAAGCGTAAATACGGTGAGAGAGGAGCAGGCAGGCTGTGCTTGAGCACTTGTCTTCTCCTTGCAGGGAGGAACAGGAGGGGGATGTAGAACAGGGAGGGGGACCCATTGCTACTTGTCTGATGGCTGCTCGCTCCCTGTCGCGCTGTTCTGCCTCTTCTGAGGCTGTCGTGGTTTAACCCCAGCCGGCAACCAA